CGCATCCAGTGCGAAATCTACCACCCATTTCCCAATCTACAAATCCTGAGATTTTTTGCACAAAACTAGAAAGTAAATAGCAAATTCACCAAGAGCATCAGAACCGACAATCGGTTTGGAAACCCCTATAACTGATGTTGTTAGGATACGCAAAGTGCAGTGATTTCAAGCCCCTCAGTTCCGAACTGCACATTCTTGACAGCCAGTCACCCTCCGACTGCCAATCCCTTGACGTAGACTAAGCGCCGAATGGGGCGATAAGTGAACAATATGATAACTGATGAATTATTCAGGTAAAAAATCGGTAATTTGGAAATTAAGAGCAAATTAAATGAGCCATTTCCAAGTGTCTTCCATTTTCACTGTGAACAGCTGCGATGAATTATCCCGCCTTCCACCACAGAATATCCAAACAGAGATAATCGCTTCGAGATACTTCGATCGGTCTGGCTCTCTGGCTTGAGATACCGCATCCACAGTGACCACGATTTGCGTACCCATTCCACCTCCCGTTTTCAAAAAACTCGAAAGACAGTCGTACAAGGTACACTTTTCCAGGAGGACAAAACAAGCAAGTTGAATGGGTGTTATGTAAAATGTACTGCTTGGAAGCTTACTTCGATGATTTTCAAAACGAAAACGCTGCCAAAGAACTCAACAGGAAACTCTGTTGCCGAAATAATTTGCATTTTTAAGTAGCAGTGCAACGTATTCGCTACGCCTACTAACTCAATTTCCTATCCATGCAGATTTTGCGGGCTCTTTAGATGTGTAGTCACGTTTTTATTAACGATCAGTGCACGGCAGTTTGGCTATGAAATGGCTTTCATTTATTGAAACAACAGACCAACTGGACTGTACGTAGGCCAAGTGCAAGGTGATATATTGTGGTGCAAACTGCCTTTATCCTTTAGATGTAGTGGGGTGATATTTTTCGGTCCAGTCTGTGTTTCATCCCTTAGCCGTGACTTCTCCCGCTCCACTCTCTAAGCAAATGCTAGGCCGCTACCGCGTCTACTTCCACAATAAGCTCAAATCCACCTCAAAACACACGGCAACTTGTGGCCTGCAAATAGCGAAACAGTTTTGAATAAAAAAAAAAATAAAAAAAAAACGAAATTTACTTGCTCGCTGTAGTAAGCCGGACCAGCATTCAGCA